ACCAGGTGAGGCATTCCCAATTGATTCATTAATTAATCTTCGCTGCACGCGATCGAGTTACGTAACGAAGGGGTGCACGCGAGGCTGTCGCCAGGCCCCAAGGAAGGGGCTCTGCTGGACTCAATTGCGCAGCGGAATCGACTGCAACAACACGCGCACGGCTAATCATTGCGGTGAACTCGACAGGTATACTAGCAACACGGTGGACGCGCGTGCGTGTGTGCGTGTGTGCGTGCGTAGAACACGTTTGCTGAACACGCCTCCTCCTCGTCCAAGCGGCCGCGTGAAGGGTTAATGCGAAATTCAACAATGCCGCGGCGGCGGCAACAATGACGACGGCAATCAACATCGGTGCCCATGAATAGCAGCAGCAGAGCCGCGAGTTCCTCCGCACCCCGGGGGGCACCGCGGGGGGACCGCGGGGGGCACCGCGGGGGGACCCCGGGGGGCACCCCGGTGGTGGTGCGGAGCACCTGGCCGGCTCGGTGCCAACCGCATGGCGCGGGCCGAGTTGCAGCGATAGCCCCGAGTGCAGGAGAGCGCTAAAGTAGGGGGGCGGGAGATGCCCCCGGCGGTAAGGTTTGAGGGTTTGGGGGGCATCGGGATCCGAGCGGAGCCGAGTTACCCGACTTCAGCCGAGGCGCGTGCGCTCACTCGCGCGCCACGCGGGTTAACGAGCCTCACCTGGCCAACAGTGAATTCATCATGGTCACCACCACCACCACCACGATCATCGTCACCCATAAGCATTGCACGGTTTGATGCTCCCAACCTCTCTCTCCCACAACCCCCTTCCCCACCGCCCATTAATTCATCGCCCCCCCCCACCCCCCAAACCTCGATGCAGCAGACACACGGACACACACACACATATATATATACATACACACACATATATATACACGCACACAGCCCCTCACGAGCCCCCCGCCCCCCACGCCCGGCACTGATGGGGCGTCTGTCGAAGCGCCCGCACTACCAGCGCGATGAGCGCACCGCACTCCTCACCTCGCCCGGCATGGCGCACGGCGCGGGCAACGCCGCCCGCGTTCAATGATCCCTTATCCTGTCCACGTCAGCTCGATATTAGGGGCTGGGACTTCGTGATCGGACGAGAAGGACCCGATCTTGGGTGGTTTTTTAGTTATATATAAATGAGCTAGGTAGGCTGTGATGTCAAAAAAGAACAAATATAAAAGCCGTTATATATCTGCCATCTGTTATTTTTCTATCAGGAGCTAGCTCGCGGCGTCTGTGAGTGGTACATGTCCGCAACATGTCCGTGCGTGAGTGCGTGTGAGTGCTTGAGTGTAACGGTGTGCGAGTGTGCGAGTGTGCGCGTGAGTGCGTGCGAGCGAGCGCGTGAGTGTACGAGGCTTGGACACAGACACATATCGGTGGATTGAGAGGAGAGAAATCAATTTCGCGAGACACAGGCTACCGACCCCGCCGTTCTCCCACCACCGGCGACCGATATTCATCTCATTTATATTTTATTTTCATAGGAGCCGCAATTGGAATTTGTAAATACGAGCTTCGGCATACGAATAAGCGGTCACATACGTATTTTTTTTTATTAAATCGGTTCTGATGAACAGAACTGGTTTCGCAATGCGTAAACATCTAGGGTCGTTAAAATATGTCAACTTCACGTTGGGGAATTAATGCCAAATTATGCTAAATTTGTTGAGCAAATGGATTAGGAACGCATCGCGATATGTGCACCTATACACGTGATTTTTTTTATTAACCACAGTCTTACAATTTAGACATCTCAAGAACTTAAATCAGAAGCGTTGTGCAATGAATTGGATCATCCTTTACCACCGTAATCATCATCACCATCGCCAGACACTATTCAACAATCCCGACCCGCTACACGGAGCTGAAAAGTGGCATCATTCGGCCACACAATTCAACACGCAGACAAACGCAGCCAAGGTTCAATGAGCTCAACACGAGAAGGCACGTGTCTGACTCTACATCGACAGGGTCTACAGAACGCACGTGTCTCACTCTACATCGACAGGGTCTACAGAACGCACGTGTCTCACTCTACATCGACAGGGTCTACAGAACGCACGCGTCTCACTCTACATCGACAGGGTCTACAGAACGCACGTGTCTCACTCTACATCGACAGGGGTCTACAGAACGCACCTGTCTCACTCTACATCGACAGGGTCTACAGAACGCACGTGTCTCACTCTACATCGACAGGATCCACAGAACGCACATGTCTCACTCTACATCGACAGGGTCTACAGAACGCACGTGTCTCACTCTAAATCGACAGGGTCCACAGGACGCACGTGTCTCACTCTACATCGACAGGGTCTACAGAACGCACGTGTCTCACTCTACATCGACAGGGTCTACAGAACGCACGTGTCTCACTCTACATCGACAGGGTCTACAGAACGCACGTGTCTCACTCTACATCGACAGGGTCCACAGGACGCACGTGTCTCACTCTACATCGACAGGGTCTACAGAACGCACGTGTCTCACTCTACATCGACAGGGTCCACAGAACGCACGTGTCTCACTCTACATCGACAGGGTCCACAGAACGCACGTGTCTCACTCTACATCGACAGGGTCTACAGAACGCACGTGTCTCACTCTACATCGACAGGGTCCACAGAACGCACGTGTCTCACTCTACATCGACAGGGTCCACAGAACGCACGTGTCTCACTCTACATCGACAGGGTCCACAGAACGCACGTGTCTCACTCTACATCGACAGGGTCTACAGAACGCACGTGTCTCACTCTACATCGACATCGGTCTACCGGACGTGCGCCCAGAGACAGACGCGGCATCCGAGACATCAGCGGGCACGGGAAATGGGCGCCTCGTCAGTGAGCGCGGAGTTTCAGAGAGAAGAGCGCGAATTGGTGAGAGAGAGAAGCCTCAAGAATCTCATCTTCGCGACACAGGGTTCCACGGGCGCGCAACGCGCACAGCTTGTCCCGAACACGCGGACACCTTTCACCACCACTGACATCAGCAACATCACCGTCGTCGTCGTTATAATTATTATTATTCGTAGTGGCGGTGATGGTGGCATTCGTATGTATTCCTCGCCTGCGTGAGAATACTTTTGGGCAAGGGAGGTGTGATTGCTCGTAGCCGCGACCGGGATGTGGACGGACGCCGGGACCGCAAGCGATTTAGAAACGCCGGTTGTGAGCTGAAGCTGAAGCCGGCTGGAAGCCGAAGCCGGCTCGCTCGGTCCACTCAGAGAACGCGGGGCTCCAGAGCGCACGCACCCAGCCAGGGCTGACCAGCGCTGGAACAAACTCCCCAGCTCCCGGCCAGCACCTACCTCGTACCTGCCTACCTACTACCTCTTCTGCCCTCTCCTGCCTACCGGCGTCGCTTTACTGAGCCCTACAAAAGTCGACATACACAAGGAAGCTTCACGAACGTGCACACGCGTGCTGTGTCACATGCACACACGCGGACGCACACGCACAGGCGGACAAACGCACACGCGTTGCATCGTATAGGCATGATAGATGCGGGCGCGCATCGCCATGCGAACGTACTCGAGTGCATCGCCTACATAAATCCATTCATGCATATTTAACGGCATACAGACACACTGGCGATCTGTATATAGAAGCGTACGTTCGTACACACACACACAGATGCACACGTACATCATGCGGGTATCCAGCACGGCGTATACACATGTACACATGGCGTTACGCTCGTCTCACCGACGCACGCTACAAACATACACCAGTGACAATGACACGTTCATACACTCCGTGCCAACGCATGATATAGACATTCGTTCACCACTTACGTGCCACACACACTCGTAGACCCCCTGCCAACACACACACGATATATTCATTGGTACACCAATTAAATGACATACATTAATAACACTCCGTGCCAACGCATGATATGAGCATTTGTATACAATTTACGTGACACACACACTCGTAGACTCCCTGCCAACACACACTAAATAGACATCCGTACACCCAACACAAGACATACACACAAACGCACACTCCCTGCCAACACACACGCGCACGATATATAGACATCGGTCCAACACATAAATCGCAAGCACACTCACTCACACGTGTACCGCCTGCCCAGCACACGCACGCGAGAGAGAGAGAGAGACCGGGCTTGGGATCACAGTACAGGATGGGCAGCAAACACCAAACTCGCACGGCAACTGCACCACTCGTGGATCTCCCCCCACCACCACCCCAAGCGTGCGAGAGAGAGAGAGGGAGACTGGGAATGCGTAAAAGTGCCCCGCGGTGTCGGCACCGCGCGCGCGAAGTGCTTCGAGCTCCGCGCCGGACCCCGCGGGCTTCCCGAGCGAGGCACCCTTCAGACCGGCACTGCCACCACGACCACCACCACCACCACGACCACCACCACCACCACTGCTACCACCACTGCAGCTACGACTACGCCGGCTGACAAGCGCATCCGTCCGTCGCCAATAGCCGCAACCCACCGAACGCACGGCAGTGTTTGTATGACACACACACGCGCGCACGCAGCCGAACACACACACACACAGAGAGAGAGCTACCGATGTAGCAACCAGGATCATCACAGCGGCGCTGGGCACAATTCATCCCAGAATGGAGACAGTTGTTTTGAGTTACAACACAGACGAGCACACAGCGCGAGCCATCGGCAACGGGAACGGCACGAAGAGCGGCGACACTCAAACTAAAGAAGCGAAGAAGAGAATCCGAGCAGTTTGTGTTTTTGTTTTAAAAAGCAGCAGCAGCGGCGGCGGCGGGAACAGCGCGGAAGGGCAGCGCCAGTAAGTGTGCGTGTGTCACGGCACAAGTGCTGAGAACAGGCGGCAGCAGCAGCAGCAGCAGCGGTAATATTAAGTGCGGTTATCTTAAAACAATGCTCGGAGTGGGATTGTGTAGCAGCAGCAGCAGCGGCGGCGGCGGCGGCGGTGTTGGTGGTGTCAGCCGCGGCGAGTGTGGTGGACTCACGCGAGAAGTCCCGCTTGCTCAGGTGCTGCGGCTTGCCCTGCTTGCGGCGCGACATGCTGCTGGTGGCCGCACTCGCCCACTGGTCACATCGACGCGCGCGCCTCTCGTCCGGAGAAAATCAGCTCCTCAATGGCCGCGCGCGACATAAAATAAATCGGAAATAATACAAAGATGGCGGGCGGGGGCAGGACGGGGGGTCTGTGGGTGGTGGGAGGGGGTGGGGAGACGGGAGGTGGGACGCGGATCGCGGGGATTGCGCTGCCGTGATGCGACGCGCGAGGGGGGAATGTAACCTCTAAGTTCAAGTACACTGCCTCGGCGCGTCCCTCTCTCGCGGTCCCCTCCTCCCCTAGCCTTGCTCCCTCCCCTCGCCTCGCATCCCCTCCTCCTCCTCCGCACGACACCACCCCGCTCGCCTCCCCGCTCGCCGCTTCCCAGCCGCCCTCCTCCTCCTCCTCCCCAAGCGCGCACACACACACACGCACACACACAAGCGCGCACACACACACGCGCACCCTCCTCACCAGCCTGCGCCTCCACTCGCCGACACACGCGCGCGCGCGCCTACCCACGGCACCCTCTCGCTCCCCTGCCAACACACACACGCGCGCGGGCTCACGCACTCTCACGTACCCTCACCATCCTCCCAAGACGCACGCACACTCACACACACGCGCACACGCGGTCACACACAAAGCGCAGAGCCCTCTCACTCGCTCTCTCCACCCTGCACCCCCAGCAGCCTCGCCCCCCGCCCCCTGCCACACCGCCACCCCCACTCGCTCAACCTCTCCCTCCCTCCCTCCACCCCGCACGCCGCTCCCCCCTCCCCAACCTCGAGCCCCGCCACCGCCGCCGCCGCCCCTCAACTCGAACTTGGACGCCGCCGCCGCCGCCGCGAGGACTCGAGGTGGTCTCTGCGCGTCGCGCACGAGGCCCTCCCTCCCGCCCTCCCGCCCGCTTCAGACGCTTCAGTCGCCGCTGCGCGCGGCCGCAGAGGAGCGGTTGCCGATGCAGCCGCTGGCTGCGGGTCCATCGCCGATACATCCCGCGAGGCAGAGAGGAGGGAGGGAGGGAGAGGCCAAACAAATGCAGAGGTAGACAGGGAGAGAGGGAGAGAGGGAGGGCGAGAGAGCCGCGTACCGGGGCTGCTGCACGGACGCGGAGCCGCCGCCGCCGCCGTGGCACGGTTACGATTTTAATTGATCTGGACAATCAAAACAGCGCGGGCTTCGATTAGAACCATCGATTCGCGGACAACAGAGCCTCTCGCTTTGCTCGAAAGGAGGGCTTCTACGAAAAAAAGGAGCCGTAGGCACAATTACTTTTGTATGTTAGTGAACATGCCTTCGATCAGTGTTTCCTTCCACGCTTGAAGTTAGCCATGCCTGTGACCTCGGTCTGATTATTCAAAGGCTTTCAAAGTCAGGCAGGCGAAACGGCGCGGGGTTAAGGCTGGCGACCCCTGCATTATTGACCAGGCAGCCCATTAAAGTGACCGGCTGAGTAGACGTTGGATGCCTCTGAGGTTAGCCGGCATGGATTGAATCGATCCAGGAGCCGTTTTCACTCTCTCAGTCCCGCAGACAATATTGATCTCGCTCTTCTTTTGAAGGCGAGAAGCGGTGAAGGCGATGGACACTGCGAAATGCAGTAATTAAATAAATATATAAAGCGCCAAACACGCACGCTTGGATGTGCGGATGCGGCCGCGTCCAAAATAAACACGCACGTGACCGCCGTGTGTGTCAAAGCGCCGATTTCAATCAAGCAGCACGCGCATCCGATGGATAGATAACACTGCACAGTCGCTTCCACGGAGCACTTCCTCAACATCACCTCCTACAACCCACACTTTGTTTCAACCCTTCATAACACCGACATCATCATCACTACCACCATCACCACAGGCGCAATCATCCCTACATCTCCCCCCCCCCTACCTCTTTCTCCAATAACCACCCTGCCGAAGCCAGCCATCCAGCACACAAAGCAGCCCCCGCCACTCTACCCAGCCGTGCTCCACCACGCAGAGGCGCATGCAGCAAGGGACGACGCCGGGTGTGTAATGTGTGCACTGTGTGTACTGTGTGTAAGGGGTGTAATGTGTGTAATGTGTGCACTGTGTGCACTGTGTGTACTGTGTGTAAGGGGTGTAATGTGTGTAATGTGTGCACTGTGTGCACTGTGTGTACTGTGTGTAAGGGGTGTAATGTGTGTAATGTGTGTAATGTGTGCGCGCGCCGTGTTATTTATTGGGATCTCGCGCTCTCGGCGAATGCGCTGCCTGGCGCTCGGCGTCGGCTCGCTCGCTACTCTACATCGCTCGGGCGGCGGCAGCGGCGGTAGCAGCGGTGGCATCGCCAGCAACAACAGCAGCGGCAGCAGCAGCAGCAAGTTATTTTATTTATTTACTTAAATCGGAAACCGCCCGTCGCAGCCGTACACCGAAGTGCATACCGAGAGACACGGGGGGGGGGGGGGGGGGTCGGGCAGTGAGCTGAGCGGGGCGGCCCCCCCACGGCGCTCCCCCTTCGCCATCCACGCCGCCCGCGCGGGTCGCGGGCCTCACCTGCGGTCCTGTTTACACAGGTGTGCTGTAGGTGTGCTATAGGTGTACTGTAGGTGTGCTGTAGGTGTACTGTAGGTGTAATGTAAGTGTGCTGTAGGTGTGCTGTAAGTGTGCTGTATGTGTGCTGTAGGTGTGCTGTAGGCATGCTGTAGGTGTGCTGTAGGTGTGCTGTAGGTGTACTGTAGGTGTGCTGTAGGTGTGCTGTAGGTGTGCTGTAGGTGTATTGTAGGTGTGCTGTAGGTGTGCTGTAGGTGTACTGTAGGTGTGCTGTAGGTGTGCTGTAGGTGTACTGTAGGTGTGCTGTAGGTGTGCTGTAGGTGTACTGTAGGTGTGCTGTAGGTGTGCTGTAGGTGTACTGTAGGTGTGCTGTAGGTGTATTGTAGGTGTGCTGTAGGTGTGCTGTAGGTGTGCTGTAGGTGTGCTGTAGGTGTGCTGTAGGTGTATTGTAGGTGTGCTGTAGGTGTGCTGTAGGTGTGCTGTAGGTGTACTGTAGGTGTGCTGTAGGTGTATTGTAGGTGTACTGTAGGTGTGCTGTAGGTGTGCTGTAGGCGTGGGCGTGCAGTACACGTGAACGCGCGCTCAGCAAAGCGCGCTGCGGACGGGCGGTGTGTGCGGGGCTCCGTCGTGGTCATCGCCGGGACTCGTGCGGGTAGGGAGGGCGCATACACCGCGCGCACCTCGCACTGCAATTAGTAAATAAGTAATGGCCTAATGTAATGAATTAAAAATGTGCTAGGTATGTTGTAGTGATTTCTATATATATGTGTGTGACCGGCGGGGTTTGTGGTGTTGAGACAGGGCGCGGGGTGGTGGGGGTGTGGGGGGCTGGGTGGAGTGAGTGAGGGGGGGGGGGTGCTGTCTGTGTGTTCATGGCACCGGCGTCGTTTTCCCGGGCCGTTCTCTCTCTCTCTCTGTGTTTTTTTTAATTGTTTGCGCTCCCAGTGCCGGACCTAGGGCCGGGTGCCGGGGCGAGGCGGCCGCCATCCATCAAACCGCCGAATCAATGGCAGGCGGGGCCGACCTTGACCCGTACCGCGACCCCTTTCCATCTGCTCGCGGCTAATGTTGATGTCTGGGCGGCCGTCAGGCAGCGCTGATCAGCGCCGAGGCGAGTGCTGAGCGGCCCCGTTGCGAGGTGGCGCGCCGCCGCCGCCGCCGCCGTGGGCAGAGCGCACGGAGCAGCCCGGGCAGGGCCGGGCCGGGCTCGTGGGTAGCGCGGCGCGACTCGCGTGCGTGAGTGGGTGAGGTTGAGGGCGTGGGTGTGGGTGAGGGTGTGGGTGACGGTGTGGGTGAGGGTTAAGGTGAGGGTGTGGGTGAGGGTGGTTAAGTGTGGGTGAGAGTGTTGGTGAGGATGTGGGTGAGAGTGAGTGGGTGTGGGTGAGGGTGTGGGTGAGATTGTGGGTGAAAGTGTGTAAGTGTGTGAGTGTGTGGGTGAGGGTGTTGGGGAGGGTGAGAGTGTAGGTGAGGGTGTGGGTGAGGGTGGTTAAGTGTGTGTGTGGGTGAGAGTGTGTAAGTGTGTGTTTGGGTGAGAGTGTGTAAGTGTGTGAGTGTGTGGGTGAGAGTGTTGGTCAGGGTGAGAGTGTGGGTGAGAGTATGTAAGTGTGTGAGTGTGTGGGTGAGAGTGTTGGTCAGGGTGAGAGTGTGGGTGAGAGTGTGTTAGTGTGTGAGAGTGTGGGTGAGAGTGGTTAAGTGTGTGTGTGGGTGAGAGTGTGATGGTGTGTGTTTGGGTGAGAGTGTGTAAGTGTGTGAGTGTGTGGGTGAGAGTGTTGGTCAGGGTGAGAGTGTGGGTGAGAGTGTGTAAGTGTGTGAGTGTGTGGGTGAGAGTGTTGGTCAGGGTGAGAGTGTGGGTGAGAGTGGGTGAGAGTGTGAGTGTGTGGGTGAGAGTGTTGGTCAGGGTGAGAGTGTGGGTGGAGTGTTGGTCAGGGTAAGAGTGTGGGTGAGGGTGTGAGTGAGAGTGGTTAAGTGTGTGTAATGTGAGTGTTCGTATGTGAGCGAAAGTAAGTGTGTGTGTGGGGGGTGTGTAAGTGTGTGAGCGATAGTGTAAGTGTGTGTGAGAGTGTGTGTGGGTGAGAGTGTGTGGGTGAGAGTGTGTAAGTGTGTGTGTGTGGGTGAGAGTGCGTGTGGGTGACAGTGTGTGTGGGTGAGAGTGTGTGTGTGGGTGAGAGTGTGTAAGTGTGTGTGGGTGTGTAAGTGTGTGTGTGGGTGAGAGTGTGTAAGTGTGTGTGGGTGTGTAAGTGTGTGTGTGTGGGTGAGGGTGTGTAAGTGTGTGTGAGAGTGATGTGTGTGTGAGAGTGTATGTGGGTGAGAGTGTGTGTGTGGGCGAGAGTGTGTAAGTGTGTGTGTGGGTGACAGTGTGTGTGGGTGACAGTGTGTGTGTGGGTGACAGTGTGTAAGTGTGTGTGGGTGTGTAAGTGTGTGTGAGAGTGATGTGTGTGTGAGAGTGTATGTGGGTGAGAGTGTGTAAGTGTGTTCGGTGAGAGTGTGTAAGTGTGTGGGGGTGTAAGTGTGTGTGTGGGTGAGAGTGTGTAAGTGTGTGTGTGAGAGTGTGTGTGTGGGTGAGAGTGTGTGTGTGTGTGGGTGAGAGTGTGTAAGTGTGTGTGTGGGTGACAGTGTGTGTGGGTGACAGTGTGTGTGTGGGTGACAGTGTGTAAGTGTGTGTGAGAGTGATGTGTGTGTGAGAGTGTATGTGGGTGAGAGTGTGTAAGTGTGTTCGGTGAGAGTGTGTAAGTGTGTGGGGGTGTAAGTGTGTGTGTGGGTGAGAGTGTGTAAGTGTGTGTGTGAGAGTGTGTGTGTGGGTGAGAGTGTGTGTGTGTGTGAGAGTGTGTGCGTGTGTGAGAGTGTGTGTGGGTGAGAGTGTGTGTGTGTGTGAGAGTGTGTAAGTGTGTGTGTGTGTGCGTCAGGTTCTGGCCACCCACCTCCTCGTGTGCCGTGCCGGCCTTGATAGTTGCTCGCTAACAGCACTTGCCCCAACAGTCTGTTAGGTCAATACGGGGGATCTTTGTATTTGTCTTGTGAGTATCAGAGTGTGAGAGAGGGTGTAAAACAGTGTTTGACCATACTTCACCACGCTGAAGAGTGTGGAGACAGTGTGTAAGTGTGTGTGTGTGAATCGATATGTGAGTGTGTGAGAGTGTGTAAGTGTGTGTGTGGGTGAGAGTGTGTGTGTGTG